CGGGCTCTGGGCTGACGGCTCGGAGCCTGGAGCCTGCTTCTGATGCTGTGTCTCCCTCACTCTCTGCCCCTCCCCCACTTGGGCCCTGTCTCTCTCTGCCTCTCAGAAATAAATAAACGTAAAACAAAATAAATTAAAAAAAAACAAAACTGGAGAAGAGCTTTGCTCGGGGCCATCGCCGCCAGAGCCCTTGGCCCCCTGCCCTCTCCTTTCTCTGACTCAGGAGTCTGGAGTGATGTGTCCTCGGCCACCCCAGAGTTTGCTGGTCAGACCCAGCACCCCCAGGCAGACCCCCAGCACCCGCGCCCGGCCCACCCAACCCCACAACCCACAGCTCACTGCTCAGCCCACGCCCATCCCTCAGGGCAAGGGCCAGGGCCACCTGAACCGGAAGAAGACAGTCACCATCCCCTCAGGCAGCGTCCTTGCATTCCAGACGGCCCTGCTGGTTATTGGCCCTGACTGGGGTGAGTGGGGACTGGGGTGACTTGGGGGGCCTGGGCTCCGTGGCAGAGAGGCAGGGAGGCACGGGAAGAGCCGCCGGCCGGCTGGGGTCTGGCTGCACAGCTTCCTGGCTGCGGTGGCTGAGGATCCCATGCTCTGGCATGTGAGGGGTTGGGGCACACGGGGACAACTGTGCAGGGTGGCCCCGGTGGGTGACGGAGAGGCTGGGGTCACTGGCTGACCTGCCCCCCCCCCGCCCCGCTCCACTCCCACCGGCGGCCAGAGATCCACCACCTCCGGCACAAGGACGAGAGGACCTTCAGGCTGCCCCAGACAGGTGAGGACCGGGGATCCCCCCCACCCACGCGGGCAGACGACCAGCGGCTGAGGCCTTCCGCACAGCATGGCTCAGCCGGGGGCTCCCGAGGACTGGGCGCGCGGGCACACGCACATGCACCCACACACTCACGTGCACACACCCACCCGCTCACATGTGCTTGTGCGCACGCATATACGCACGCGCATGTGCACATACGTACATACACTCACGCGTACGACGCACATTCACACGCGCTCACATGCACACACACGTGCGCACGGACTGTCACACATGCACACGCACACACACATGTACACACAGTGCACTCACGCACACACACACGGTTGCACACACGGTTGCACACGTACAGATGCACCTATACACGTGTGCACGCACATGTGCACGTTCACACAATGCTCTCGCACGTGCACGCTCACATGTGCACTCACACACGTACACGTGCACACACACTCACGGGCCGTAAAGCAACACCACACCAGCCTCGGCCTGGCACACCCTCACTCCCTGCCCTGGGCGGCCAGTGCTGGGGCGGCGGTGAGGGACGACGGGGTCTGGGGAAGGCTTCAGCCCTGTCTGGCTCGGGGACCCGTACCCTGCACTGACCCACCCTGCTCCACCCAGGCCACAAGCCTACAAGCAGCACAGGTCTCCTGTCACAGATACCTCTCAGCTACTTCAAGATGAGGTTCCCATCTACACCCGTGGACATGGTGTCGGGTCAGTACCTTCTTGACGACCCTCAGACCCTTGGTGGGCTCCCCTTTGCCCCCTGGGAGTCTGCCCTTCCTGACCAGGGCTCTCCAGGGTCCTGCGGGCGCCCGGGCAATTCCAGCCCTCTCCACACAGATGGGGACATCGAGGACCAGATGCCAGTCACTGAAGACTTTCAGGGCCTGAAGGTAGAGGTTAGTGTCCACGCCGACGGCCTGAAGGGCTTGTCCGGGGAACTGTGCGGGCAGATCCTGGCAGGCCTGATGAAGGTGTTGCGGGAAGAGCCGGCCTTGGAGAGCCTCCAGGAGGAGGTGAGCAGCCTGCTGGAGTGGGCAGGGTGGGTGGGACCTGCGCCCTGCCCGTCGGGCTCACCCGCCCCACCATATGTCCCCAGCTGGAA